TTTTTTTTTTAGAGAGATTTTTGCTATAGGGCATGTGTGCTGGCCAGAGACAGAAAGTGAGAAATCACCCCCCAGAAGGGATGGCCATGCCACAATCCCTTCTTCATTTTCCTCTTGGGACTTTGGGCACACATGCACATGGCTCTGGTGTGAGTTTTAAGTCACCAGGTCTGGGACTTGACTATAGTCGAGCATGGGTGAGTCCAGCAACATAACCACCTGCTGGTCCCACACACTTTCATTTTTGTAGGAAAATGAAGATGAGGCAGCACTCACCGCCTGGCACAGGATTGGGTACTTGGTGCGGTTGATGCCACCAGCAAACACTGTGAAGGTCAGAGCTGCGTGGAAGCAGAAATTCAGTAGCGTGTGCCGTCCTTTCCGGCTGATCCGTATGGCACTGCAGGAAATAGAGATTTTATGTTAGCAACTAGCATTTCAGGTAAAAGCATGGACTTGAGCTCACTTATCTGAATGCTGTGCTCTTTTGACAGAGGGGACACTAAGTCCTCAAAAGGGCCAGAAAGAGGGAAAGACAGACAGATTTGCTGGATCCACCCTTAGAAGTTACATTGGACAACTTTATTATGTTGTCTAGTATGTGACGATTTAAAGGTTTTTTGCAGAATCTTGACTAACCTGATCACTTGACAGATGAAAATACTGAAGCCCTTGGGACCAGCAGTTAGCGTAATGGCTATGTCGCTGGACTCCCACATAGTTGACCATGGTTCGAGTCCCGGACCCAGTGGCTTAAACTCACGCTGGGCGCATGTGCGTGCGTGCCCAAGATCCCGAGAGGAGAATGGAGGAGAAGGGATTGCGGCGTGGCCATTCCCCCTGGGGAGTGATTTCTCACTTTCTATCTCTCAGTCTCTCTCTGTCTGGCGAGCGCACATGCCCTACAGCAAAAAAACCCAAAAAACAAAAAAACAAAAAAACCCAAAAAACAAAAAAACAAAACAAAACAAAAAACCTCTCCAAAAAAGGAAAAAAAATTACTGAAGCCCTGAGAATCTATGACTTGTCTATAGTCTCAGGGAAAGATGTCATGCCTCCTAGCTTCTAGGCTCATTCCCTTTCTAAGCAGATGACTGATACCTCAGGAAGAGGGCTCTGACCAGGACTGTGACCATGAGCATGACCAACTAAGCCATGCCTTTGCCCTGGACTAAGATGTTGCTGATGGCTATGATTAGTTCTACGACCACCAAGATGTCTAAGGCTCTCCTTAGCCCTGGCTATGGCAGGACTAAGATTGCTTAGCTTGTGACTTCAGCTGTGACTGTGGCCATGACCATAATGACCTCAAAGATGCCCAGGCCTTTTATCATGACCATAGCTGCTATGGTCTGAACATTTTGCCCCACCCCAATTCATATGTTGAAACCCAGTATGATAGTAGGAAGTGGGGCATTTGGGTGAGGCCCTCATGAATGAATGGGATTAGTGCTCTTATAAAAGAGGTCCACCAGCCTATGACATGGTGGTTAAGGTGGCTGGATCCCACAATCCTTTCTTGGGATTTTGGGCACACACACATATTTTTCAAGCTGCTGGGTCAGGGACTCAAACTGCAGTTGGCCATGTAAGACCTAGCACCTTAGTCACCATTCCACCTGCTGGCTCTCTCTGTCTCTTTCTGGCATGTGTGCGTGTGCTTTGCCAAGATAAAACAAATATATATATATATATAAAATCAACACAAAACAAAAGAGATCTTCAGACCCTGCCTTGCCCCTTTTTATCATGTGAAGACATAGAACGAAGATGTCATCTCTGAATCAGGAATCAGGCCCTCACCAGACACAGAATTTGCCATGCCTTGATCCTCCACTTCTTAGTCCCTCTATAAATGATAAATCAGTTCTATTGTTTATAAACCACCAGTCTATGGTATTTTGTTATAGCAGCCCCAAATGAACTAACACAACAGTTTTGGGCCCACCCAAACTCCTTCCATGATCACAGTCTTGGTTTTCCCTAGGCTGTCTCTGACTACAACCATGGCCTTGGGCACATCCAAACCTCTACCCATGACAACGGCCTCAGATAAGCCTGAGCTTCTCATTGTTGCTGTAGCCTTGGGTGCCTCTAAATGTCGCCTCATGTCTGTGATTATGGCCAGTGCATACACATTGCCCATGACTTTGATTATGGGTTTGACCTGAATGTGGCCGAGATCTCTCCTGACCTTTCCAGTGTATCTCCAAGTGAGGCATACTCACTGAGGTCATCCCCCAACTCCCAGAGGTGGCTGAGAAGTAGGATACCAATCAGACTCTCCTTTCTAGATAAAAAGGTGCAATTCAAAAGTGCTCCTAGGGTTCTGTGGGCCACTCTAACTATCCAAGGATGTAGGCTTTTCAGAGCTCCTGAACTGATGTTGAACCCATTTCATGAAGAACTTACTTCAACAATTTTGATAAGATCGTGGAGACTACTGTTGAGAAGATGCTGATGGAGGCCCAGAATGGAAGCATGGGGCTTTCCCTGAATACTCATCTACCCTTTGGCCACTGTGGTGGGCACCTAGGATGTTGGGCAGTTCAAGTGGGCTGTGATGTGTGGAGAAAATTTTGGAGACTACTTGCTATACGGATGTTAGTGAGATATCACTTCAGGGATTTGCATTAGTAAACAAACACATGAAGTCTTGGGGGCAAAGTGTGGGTACCCATCTCACCTCTGGTGCACGATGTAGGTAACGATGGAGGCGAAGAGGCACAGCAGCATGACCGCAGTGCATGCGTACACCACGGGGTGCAGGAACTCCCCTGGGTACTGGGGCAGGGAGAGGACAGTCTTCAAATCCTGCAAAAAACGAACAAACAAACAAACAAAACAAAACCCAGAGGCGATCTGTGTGATCAGTGTAGCCAAAAACCTAGAATCTGCAGCAGCAGAAACCTGAGTTCTTCCCTGTAGGTCCAGCCTCTCCCCTGCAAGTTGCTTGAGGCATTTTCTGATTTGAGCTGTGATTTGTTAGGTCTTGCAGAAACAGCCCTTCTGCCTGGGACAGCAGGGGTTAGACTGGTGGCTAAGAAAGACCCTGCTCAGTGAGTGTTCACAGCAGGTGGAACCATCCATAGCACATGGGCCACCCATATAGGGTTTGTCTTCACCCTCTACCAGGTTTGTTAAGCTGAGTGCATCTTCATGTGCCTCTGAAAGCCAGCTCCCAGGGGTGGCATTTCTGCTGTGCCCGCATGTCTGACTCTGGCCTCCTTCTGAACCTCATCTCATTGAAATTCTGCTTAAAAATATCTCCCAGGAGAATTTTATATTAAGTTTCAGCAAGTCTGAGTAGTGTTGACTCCAGTCGACAGAGAAAGAGTAGAAGGTGTTATGAACCCATAGACACAGGCTTGAGAACCTCACTCCCATTTTTGGATATCAAAGACTCTCACTGTGAATTGCAGCAGAAGTAAAGGGCTCAAGGTCAGAGTTCAGACAACGTGTCTTCCCTGTGGTAGTGTAAACTCAAGGGGAGGATGTCGCTGATTTGAAATGTTCAGGATAGACAAAGGTTTTTGTCTTACTTATCAGGTGAATGAGGAGAGCTCCCCCTATGTTGAGCACTGGGGTACAGAGAGGCAAAAACACCCAAACACATCCCCAAGTCCTACCTGCTCTGGGAGCTGTGTTCACAAGATGGTGGATAGAAAACACTGGAAGCAAAGGGCAACATCACATGAGGGGGATTAGGCAAATCTCACCAGACCTCATCCCCGCACTCAGTGATTTATCTGGACTGGAGGAGAGGGTCCCAGAGGACCCACAAGGCTAAGATTTAGAGATCTAGTGTCCACCTGATCTCTAACCCTGGGATAAAAATGTCAGCACCTAACACAGTTCTAGATGCTTCACAAGTTGTGACTGGTTGAATCTCATGGGAGCCCTGTTAAAGACTGACCCATATTCCCCCAGAGTCATGGGTTGATGCCCTAACCCTCAACACGACTATACTTGGAGACAGGGCCTTTGGTAGGCAATTAAGGTTAAGTAAGACCATAGGGTGGGGTTGTGCTCCAGTAGAACTGATGTCCTTACAGAAGAGGAAGAGACACCAGGGATACTAGCATACAGAGAAAAATCTGTGAGGACGCAGTGAAGAGACACTGTCTGCAGACCAAGGAGCAAGGCCTCAAGATAAACCAATCCTGCAGACACCTTATTCTCAGGCTTTCAATTACAGAACTGTGAGAAGTAAATTCTGTACTTCTAGACCCCCGGACCGTGGTATATTGTTATGGGGGACCTACTATTACTACCCCCCACGCTTGAACCCGATAAGGTCGGTGCTGTTGTCCTCACTTTGCAGGGCAGTTGGTGAAGTCATTGCTTTCTCTAATTCAAACCTGTGGTCTGCTCCTACAGGCCCCAGGGAGACACCCTGGTCAGGTGGGCAGACTGTGGGCTGGGGTCCACTGTGTCATGACAGAGGCCAAGGAAGCTGAGGGCCCTGATGAAACTGCTGGCAGAAGGCTGACCAGGCCTCTGACTTGCCTTCTAGGAGGTCCCCCATGGGGCCATGCTGAGCTACCACAGCCATGGCCATGAGCAGGCTGTGGGTACTTGGGGGTCTGTAGCAGTGCTGGGCCCATTCCCCTAGTCCACAGTGGTGACTCCCATGTAGTCAACCGTGGTTTGCGTCCCAGACCCGGTGGCTTAAAACTCATGCCGGGCGTGTGTGCGTGTGTGCCCAAGATCCCGAGAGGAGAATGGAGGAGAAGGGATTGCGGCGTGACCATCCCCCCTGGGGGGTGATTTCTCACTTTCTGTCTCTATGTCTCTCTCTGTATGTCTGGCGAGCACATGCGCCCTATGGCGAAAACCTCTCCAAAAAAAAAAAAAAAAAAAGAAGCTGAGTAGCTCAGGAAATGGGGAGACTCTGAGTAACATAGGAAATAGAAACCCTCCAGTGTGTAAAGGGCTTTGATGGAAGGGAAGCAAGAACCCAGTGAATCTAAAAGAGAGCTCATGCTACATTCCCCCTTGATACACATTTTTTTTTTTTTTTTTTTTTTTGCCAATGTAGCTAAGATGAGACCCTGGCCGGCTAGGGAGTGTCCCATCTGCTCACAGAAAGCTCTAGGGGGCCAAGAGCCACCCTGGCACTCAGTTATGACCTTTGTACCTGGACTCTGCTTAGGTGCAGGGACGTTAAAAAATTAAAACAGATTTTTCTTTATTCATAATCAATTGCATGTGTGCACACATGAGAATGAAAAAGACAGAGAGAGGAAGAGAGAGAGAGAGAGAGATGAGCATGCTCTAGCGTCTAGTCACACCACGATCCCCTTCCTCCAGTCTTCCAACCTGTCAGATCTTGGGTACCTGTGCATATGCCTGGCATGTTTTAGGTGAACTGAGCCAGGGATTTGAACTGTAGTTGCTGTGTGGAATCCAGCTTCTCTAAGCAGCACATTGCCACTGTGCTGTGGAACCAGTCCAGGTGCAGGGACATTCATATGGAGATCTCTCTGCTGTGATAGTAACAGCTAATAGAAGTACATCATCAACTGATGGAAAGGAACTGAGTAACCAGGGACACTGAGAAGACTCCTCACAGTCTGACTGCTGAGGGGTCTGGTAGACAATTGAAGCCAGAAATAGGGCCCCGACCCAGAATAAGCAGATGACCAGGTGTGACTGAGAGAGAAGTGAACTGCAGGCCGAGCACCCTGGCTGGGATCCCCAAGCTTCAGTCCTTCACTGTCCACAGCTCAGAAGTACGAGGAACAGGTGTGGGTATGGGCAGGACATGAACAATGACTCTTATCCGGTTGACATGCGGTTCCAGGACTTGTGCTGCTCACATAGCCTTTCTTCCCATGAAATCATGAGCTCGGGGGGAAGATGCCAGAGATGCCAGCCTCAAGGTGTCAGAAACATTGAGGCCTGAAGTACTCTCCACAGGAGATCTGGAGGTCCCTTCTGCTTTGTCCTGACCAGGAAAGCTGGCCTTGCTCAGCCAAGGCCCAGAGTGGATGTCTGAGGCCCAGATCCCCACCTGTTGGCTCTGGCTTATGAAAGAAGGCCCATTCTGGCCTTTACATCTGTGTCCCATGGAAGCCTCCTTCTGGGGTGTGAATGCCAGTGAGCTGTGCTAGCCAGGTGCTGGTACCAACTGGGTTCTCCATCCTGCAACAAGAAGCATTTGACTGTGGGAGGACAAAGGGTGGGTGAAGAATACCTGTCTGTGAGAGATACGGGCACAGCTGGGAGATAACAGCAGAAGCTTTCACTGCCCAGTTGCATGTTTAGAACCTGCTCTTTACTTCTCAGACACTGAGCGGCCAGCCGGAGATGGAGAGCCTCATAGTTTAGGATCAATTAGGCAGCAGTGTGGACAGATGCCCCTGGAGGTTTTTGGAAAGGTAGGGCTGGGCAGGAGACTCCGCCCTTACTTTATCCCTCTGCAAAGAACAGAGCTGAGTGGGCCTCTGTTGGATTCTTATGAGTGCCCCAAAGCCACGAAGCCTCAGATGACAGGGTCTGGATAAGTATATGGTCTCCGGTCCAGCTGTGGGGGACAGACTGCTCCTTCATAGAACCCGAGTCTGCTGGAGAAGCTCACATGCAGCTTACTTTGTGCTCCTGACTTCTGGAGCATTTGCCATTGGGTAGTGGTGAGAGGGGCCCCGTGTCACACAAGCGAGTGCCCAGGTTGGCCTATACTTGTCATAATTCACCAGGAACTGGCTTCCTGCCAAATGCAAATAACTTCAAAAGTCATGGAAAAGCAAATTTTTCTGGTCAAATCCTGATATTAAACTATCTAATGAGTTCTCTGCTGCTGGGAGGTCGAGAGTGCCCCATGAGGTTATAAGAACTCAAGGTTTAATTGGGCACAAGCGATGTCTCCAGACTTTGCCACATCATTTTTTTCATAGGGGTCAATGGCTTTTCCCTCCTATGACATTAACTCAGAGTATAAAAAAAATTGGAACATTCTTCTTATAATTCTCACTTTGGCCATGATCACTAGTTTCAGATTCAGATGCACAAGAGAACTGCCAAGTAGTCCATCACTTGTGTCCCGTCCTCTTCTGGTTCTATTGGGACCAGCCTCCTTGATGGTTTCCTGGAACAAGGACTTTGCACCAATTGTGTAGAAGGGCCTGGGGGTGGTTTCATGAGTCCCTTTAGGGCCTTCCTTGAGGGCTGCTGTCACTGTGGATTGCTGTCAATACCCGGAAGTGCTGGTTTCAGACTCCTGTTCTGCTGGAGAGTAGGGGGAGACAGTGATGGCCAGTGGAAGGACTCAGCGCCACATCAACTGCCGGACGTCCTGTTACATCTGCCCCCAATGCCCTTGTAGGAAAGCTTACATTCTAGCGTATTTTATCTGTGGGTTTTAAACTGACATATACAGGTTCTCTTTATGTTAAATCCAATAAGAAGTCAGAACTGTTTCACGTGATAGGCAAACAACTGAGAAAGCCAGTTCACAATGCAGAAGCATTTTCTGAGAATGCTTCTCAGATCAGAGGCGTGCAGCCTGAGGCCACACCCCCTTTGGAGTGAGGGTCTTGCTTATTGTCTGAGGGCCAGTTTTGAGGCTTCAAGGGAAGGTATCAAGACCTTTGGAGCAGCTATATGAGGCTGGGAGGCTGGAGGCCTGGGGCGGGGGGTCGTCATCTGTGCAAAGGCAAACATCCATGACTAGGAACAAAATGACATGTGGGTCAACAATATGTTTTATAAGAAATGGGGATTTGATTTGGCTTGGTTTTTTCCTTTTTTTTTTTTCTTTCTCCAAGTTAGAGTTATCGACAGTGCCTTTTTACATTTTTAGAGGTGACATT